ATTATTATTATTATTATTATTATTATTATTATTATTATTATTATTATTATTATTATTGTTGTTGTTGTTGTTATTGTTATTGTTATTGTTATTGTTATTGTTATTATTATTATTATTATTATTATTATTATTATTATTATTATTATTATTATTATTATTATTATTATTATTATTATTATTATTATTATTATTATTATTATTATCATTATTATTATTATTATTATTATTATTATTATTATTATTATTATTATTATTATTATTATTATTATTATTATTATTTGTTGCTCAAGATTCGATAATTGTTGAGCCACGGTCTTGGAATGGATGGGTGTATAAATGAATGAATGAGTGAATTAATGAGTGTGGATGTATATGCAGTACGTATAATGGCAGGTGATGAGTGGATGGATGGATGGATGGATGGATGGATTAGTAGTTGGTCATGATGGGTAGTAGTTGCGGCTATTTTATGGGCGTGTGGGGGATAGTGGGCGGCGTGTGTGTGGGTGGTGAGTAGGCGGTGGGTGATGGGCGGCGTGTGGGTGATAGTGGGCGGCGTGTGGGTGATAGTGGGCGGCGTGTGGGTGGTGAGTAGGCGGCGTGTGGGTGATGGGCGGCGTGTGGGTGATAGTGGGCGGCGTGGTGGTGAGTAGGCGGCGTGTGGGTGATGGCGTGTGGGTGATACGGCGGTGGGTGATAATGGGCGGCGTGTGTGGGTGGTGAGAGCGGCGTGTGGGTGATGGGCGGTGTGTGTGGGTGATGTGTGGGTGATGGGGCGTGTGGGTGATAGTGGGCGGCGTGGGTGATAGTGGGCGGCGTGTGGGTGGTGAGTAGGCGGCGTGTGGGTGATGGGCGGCGTGTGGGTGATAGTGGGCGGCGTGTGGGTGGAGAGGCGGTGGGTGATGGGCGGCGTGGGTGATAGTTGGCGGCGTGTGTGTGAGTGGTATACGGCGTGTGGGTGATGGGCGGTGGTGTGGGTGATGGGCGGCGTGTGATGGGCGGCGTGTGGGTGATGGGTGTGGGTGATAGTGGGCGGCGGTGGTAGGGCGGCGTGGGTGGTGGTGACGGCGCGGTACTCCCGGGAGGACAAAAGTTATGACTCAACCCCTCTCACCAAAGTGGCCAATCCTGCTCTCGTTCACGTCTCACATTAAAGCCAACGAGATATCTTAACCGTACTCCTGAACCCCTGGTGGGTAGTACTCAAGCGTTGATGTCTAGCGGTACTTCTAATCCCTTGAGTACATTGAGTTCTCCGACTTAACACCTTCAGTACAATCACTTAACCCGTTCAGTACTTTGCTTTAAATCCTTGAGTACGATGCCTTAACCAATTAAATACGATGACTAATTCTCTTGAGTACAGAGATGTCATCGTACTCAAGAGGTTAATATAGTTTCCGGTTCTCCTTATAAGAGGTTCTCACCGCGTTAGCCCTCCCATAGAACCTCTAGGTTAACGTTCTTGGTTCGTCAGCATTAACCGCGGCTGGTTAAGATCATCGGATGATTAGCGTTAGGTTAGGAAAGGTTAGATTAGGTTAGGTTAGGTTAGGTTAGATTAGGTTAGGTTAGGTTAGGTTAGGTTAGGGTAGTTGATCTCTACATAAAATACACTTAGGTTCTAATCTTCAGGGGGTTTTTAAGACCTCTTCTTCAGGTGTTGATTATAAAAAAAAATAAAACTAATTACGTCAACAGAAATTGTGACATTGTCAAAACACGTATTGTGACAGTCGCTGAAAACACGTGTGAACAAATGTTTGAGGAAAACACACACACACACACACACACACACACACACACACACACACACACACACACACACACACACATACACACACCTACACACACCTATTTGACGGATATACGTGGACAAAATGTTTCTGGTGCGTGGACACAAACTCTGACGTATCGTGTAATGTTGGGGATGTGATGTATAACGGGGATAAAAATACTAATTCCGTGTGGTGATAAATCGTCGTGTCGTAACTAAAACTCTTTGGCAAAAGTTCTGGCATGTAAACAAATCCTTTAACAAGTCATAGAATGGTTTTTTTTCGTTTGGTGGAGATCAGGAGAAACGTTCTAGAGGGCTATTAAACGTTCTCGCTCTCAGTGGAACACGTAAACGTATGTCTCTCAGAATGTAAACATCTCAGTATCGACGTGTTGTAAAACGTTCTGACGGAAGCTGGGGGTCTGTACGTAGCCACAGCCACCACCCTCACCACCACACCCACCACCCACACCCACCACACCCACCAGTTACACCTTAATTACAGTAGCCAGTAACAGTGGGACGCGGGCTGACGTTACTTATTGTAGTTAGGTGTACACAGTAGGTGAAGAGTTAAATCAGGTAAAAATACAAGAGTTAATACAAAATCTGATGGAAAATAGATTACTGTAGTTTAATACAGGACTTATTATGTACTTTAGTAGTGTTAAGTACAGGTTAATACAATATTTGTTAGTTGTTACTTTATTATGGGTGTTACAGTAGTATCAGATACCGTTTGAATACAGTAATTGACGGGTATTACAGTTGTGTTAGGTGCAGGTGAATACAGTGCTCGATGAATTTGACTGCAGGTGCCATATAATGTAATGGTTGGCTATTACAGTTATGTTGATACAGGTTAATGTAGTTACAGCTAGATACTGTAACGTGAACAGTGGAAAGTACAGTTGCCAGGACAGCAGAGTCGGGTACAGCTAAAGGGGATATTGTACTCGGCTTAACAAGAACGTTTTTGCAGCACAGAATACAGAGAAAAATACAGGTACAGGGAAATACAGTACTGGCGATACACTAAACTACAGTGGGTTAATTGTTTCTGGTATTACATAATTTATTCTTTCTTTCGTTTCATTTCAGTTTTATTTTTGGTCTTAATCCCAGACTGAGAATTTGTTCTTTTCTTTTCCATATTAAAATAAAGTCTTTTTTTTTTCAACACGCGAAAAATTCAGTCTTGGGATTTATTCAGGCTTTGGATTTATTCAGTCTTGGGATTTATTCAGTCTTTGGATTTATTCAGTCTTGGGATTCATTCAGACGTGTGATTTATTCAGTCTTGGGATTTATTCGTCGTCTGTTCCTCGACTTGAGGAAATATTCCTTCCGTCAGCCCATTGCCAGGATTTATTTCACTTTAACACGGAAACCCTTTAATTTATTCACCAACTCATTTATAAGATATGTTTTTTCCTTCTTCCAGACCTTAAGATTTATTCACTGTTTTCTGGATCTCCGATTTATTCCCACTAATCCCTAACTCTTGTCTTAAACATCTCCTCCTCCTCCTATTTCTCCACCTCCTCCTCCTTTCTTCTCCCTCCTCCTCTTTCTCCTCCTCCTCCTCCCTCCTCCTCTTCCTCATACTCTACCTCCCCTTCCTCCTCCTCCTCTTCCTTACATCACCAAGATTTATTCTCTTCTTACCATCTCCCTTATATTTTTCTTCACGTCATCCCAAACTCTTGTTCTGGAAGCCACTCTTCTTCTCTTCTCTCCCTCCTCCTCCCTCATCTTCCTCGTCTTTCTCCTCTTCATTCCAGCCCAAAGATTCATTCTCTTGCCTTCACCAGCGGACCCCAAATATACCCGCCCGCTGACAGACACTGGGACACACAGCCTTCATGTTGGCGGGGCTGGCAGGGGAGTGATGAGGTCTCCGACTCACCTGAAGAATGGACACCCCAACTTCTTTCATTCCAAGATTAACCGCTCCAACGCTAACCTAACCTAACCTAACCTAACCTAACCTAACCTAACAATAACCTAGCCTAACTTAACCTAACCTAATCTAACCTAACCTAAGCTAACAATTAACTAACCTAACCAAACTTAACCTAATTCACCCTAGCCTAACCTAACCTAACCAAACTTAAGCTAACTTTACCTCACATCCTCAGCTCACTTCTTACCCAATTACCTCACTTCTCACCTCCTCACCTCACCTCCTCACCTCATCTTACCTACTCATCTCACTTCTCACCACTTCACCTTATCTCACCTCACCTTATCTCACCTCACCTTATCTCACCTTACCTCCTCATCCCACTTCTCACAGCCCCATCTCACTTCACCTCACCTCCTCACATCACCTCATCTCCTCACCTCATTATGGCGGAAGGTAACAATTTTCTTCTATATTTTTTACAGACCCAGTCGGCGGCCCGGCTGACCCGACTGATGGCAGGGCCCGGTGGTGGCGGGGTTGGGGTGGAGGGAGGAGGAGGAGGCCCCAAGATGGACGTTGTGTACGTGACGGAGCGGATCATCTCCCTGGCCTTCCCTCCCACCCCTGACGACGCCACCTACACCCTGCACCTCCGGGAGGTGGCCCACATGCTATCCTCCAAACATGGCGACAACTTCAAGGTACTGTTCCTCCTTTTTTGACACTCTTATCCGTGCCCACACTCCTTGTCTGTGCCCACACCTTGTCTGTGCCCACACTCATTTGTGCCCACACTCTGTCTGTGCCCACACTCTTATCCGTGCCCACACCTTGTCTGTGCCCACACTCTTATCTGTGCCCACACTCTTGTCCGTGCCCACACTCTTGTCTGTGCCCACACTCTTATCCGTGCCCACACCCTTGTCTGTGACCACACTCTTGTCTGTGCCCACACTCTTATCCGTGCCCACACTCTTGTCCGTGCCCACACTCTTGTCTGTGCCCACACTCTTATCCGTGCCCACACCCTTGTCTGTGACCACACTCATGTCACACCCATGTTCATACCCACACTCTTGTCACACTGATGTTAGTACCCACACTCTTGTCACACTCATGTTAGTACCCACACTCATGTTAGTGTCCAAACTCTTGTCACACTCATGTTAGTGAACACACTCATGTTAGTGCCCACAGTCTTCTCACACTCATGTTTATACCCACACTCATGTTAGTACCCACACTCATGTTAGTGTCCACACTCTTGTCACACTCATGTTAGTGAACACACTCATGTTAGTGCCCACACTCATGTTAGTGTCCAAACTCTGTCACACTCATGTTAGTGAACACACTCATGTTAGTGCCCACAGTCTTGTCACACTCATGGTGCCCACAGTCTTGTCACACCTCATGTTTATACCCACACTCATGTTAGTGAACACACTCATTTTAGTGCCTACACTCTTGTCACACTCATGTTTATACCACACTCATGTTAGTGTCCACACCTTTGTCACACTCATGTTAGTGCCCACACTCATGTTAGTGTCCACACTCTGTCACACTCATGTTAGTGCCCACAGTCTTGTCACATCTATGTTTATACCCACACCATGTTAGTGAACACACTCATGTTAGTGTCCACACTCTGTCACACTCATGTTAGTGCCCACAGTCTTGTCACACTCATGTTAGTGCCCACACTCATGTTAGTGTCCACACTCTTGTCACACTCATGTTAGTGTCCACACCTATTACACTCATGTTAGTGTCCACACTCTTGTCACACTCATGTTAGTGTCCACACTCTTGTTACACTCATGTTAGTGAACACACTCTTGTCACACTCATGTTTATACCACACCTCATGTTAGTGTCCACACTCTTGTCACACTCATGTTAGTGTCCACACTCTTGTCACACTCATGTTAGTGTTCACACCTTGTCACACTCATGTTAGTGCCCACACCTTGTTACACTCATGTTAGTGTCCACACCTTGTCACACTCATGTTATGTCCACACTTTGTCACACTCATGTTAGTGTCCACACTCTTGTCACACTCATGTTAGTGCCCACACTCTTGTCACACCTCATGTTAGTGTCCACACTCTGTCACACCCATGTTAGTGCCCACACTTGTCACACTCATGTTAGTGTCCACACTCTGCTCATCATGTTAGTCACACTCTTGTCACACTCATGTTAGTGTCCACACTCTTGCCACACTCATGTTAGTGTCCACACTCTGTCACACTCATGTTAGTGAACAAACTCTGTAAGTGTCCACACTCTTGTCACACTCATGTTTATACCCCACTCATGTTAGTGTCCACACTCTTGTCACACTCATGGTAGTGTCCACACTTGTCACACTCATGTTAGTGTCCACACTCTTGTCACACTTGTTAGTGAACACACTCATGTTAGTGTCCACACTCTTGTCACACTCATGTTAGTGTCCACACTTTGTCACACTCACATTATACCCACACTCATGTTAGTGTCCACACCTTGTCACACTCATGTTAGTGTCCACACTCTGTCACACTCATGTTAGTGTCCAACTCTGTCACACTCATGTTAGTGAACACACTCATGTTAGTGTCCACACTCTTGTCACACTCATGTTAGTGATCACACTCTTGTCACACTCATGTTAGTGTCCACACTCTTGTCACACTCATGTTAGTGAACACACTCATGTTAGTGTCCACACTCTTGTCACACTCATTTTAGTGAACACACCATGTTAGTGTCCACACTTGTCACACTCATGTTAGTGTCCACACTCTTGTCACACTCATGTTAGTGTCCACTCTTGTCACACTCATGTCCACACTCTTGTCACACTCATGTTAGTGTCCACACTCTTGTCACACTCATGTTAGTGTCCACTCTTGTCACACTCATGTTAGTGTCCACACTCTTGTCACACCCATGTTAGTGTCCACACTCTTGTCACACTATGTTTATACCCACACTCATGTTAGTGTCACACTCTTGTCACACTCATGTTAGTGTCCACACTCTTTCACACCATGTTAGTGTCCACACTCTTGTCACACTCATGTTGGTGAACACACTCTTGTCACACTCATGTTATGCCCACACTCATGTTAGTGTCCACACTCTTGTCACACTCATGTTAGTGTCCACACTCTTGTCACACTCATGTTAGTGTCCACACTTGTCACACGCATGTTTATACCCACACTCATGTTAGTGCCCACACTCTTGTCACACTCATGTTAGTGTCCACACTTGTCACACTCATGTTAGTGCCCACACTCTTGTCACACTCATGTTAGTGTCCACACTCTTGTCACACTCTGTTTATACCCACACCATGTTAGTGTCCACACTCTTGTCACACTCATGTTAGTGTCCACACCTTGTCACACTCATGTTATGCCCACCTTGTCACACCATATTTATGCCCACACTCATGTTAGTGCCCACACCTTGTCACACTCATGTTAGTGCCCACACCATGTTAGTGTCCACACCTGTCACACTCATGTTAGTACCCACACTCATGTTAGTGCCCACACCTCATGTTAGTGTCCACACTCATGTTAGTGTCCACACTCTTGTCACACTAATGTTAGTGCCCACAGTCTTGTCACACTCATGTTAGTGCCCACACTCTTGTTAGTGTCCACACCTTGTCACACTATGTTAGTGCCCACACTCATGTTAGTGTCCACACCTTGTCACACTCATGTTAGTACCCACACTCATGTTAGTGCCCACACTCATGTTAGTGTCCACATCATGTTAGTGTCCACACCTTGTCACACTCATGTTAGTGAACACAGTCTTGTCACACTCATGTTTATACCCACACCATGTTACTGTCCACTCTGTCACACCCATGTTAGTGTCCACACTCTGTCACACTCATGTTAGTGCCCACACTCTTGTCACACCATGTTAGTGTCCACACCTTGTCACACTCATGTTTATACCCACACTCCATGTTAGTGTCCACACTCTGTCACACTCATGTTAGTGTCCACACTCTTGTCACACTCATGTTAGTGTCCACACTCTTGTCACACTCATGTTAGTGCCTCCACACTCATGTTATCCCACACTCATGTTTCACACTCATGTTAGTGCCCACACTCTTGTCACACTCATGTTAGTGTCCACACTCTTGTCACACTCATGTTAGTGTCCACACTCTTGTCACACTCATGTTAGTGTCCACACTCTTGTCACACTCATGTTAGTGTCCCACACTCTTGTCACACTCTGTTTATACCCCACACTCATGTTAGTGTCCACACTCTTGTCACACTCATGTTAGTGTCCACCTCTTGTCACACTCATGTTTTTATACCCACACTCATGTTAGTTTCACACTCTTGTCACACTCATAGTGTCCACACTCTTGTCACACTCATGTTAGTGTCCACACTCTTGTCACCTCATGTTTATACCCACACTCATGTTAGTGTCCACCTCTTGTCCTCATGTTTGTCCCACACTCTAGTGTCACACTCTGTAGTGCACACTCTTGTCACACTCATGTTAGTGTCCACACTCTTGTCACACTCATGTTAGTGTCCACACTCTCACCATGTTAGTGTCCACACTCTTGTCACACTCATGTTAGTCCCATGTCACTCATGTTGTAACACTCATGTTAGTGTCCACCTCTTGTCACACTCATGTTTATACCCACACTCATGTTAGTGTCCCACACTCTTGTCACACTCATGTTGCCCACACTCATGTTAGTGTCACACTCTTGTCACACTCATGTTAGTGACACACACTCATGTAGTGTCCACTCTCATGTTTATACCCACACTCATGTTAGTGTCCACACACTCTTGTCACACTCATGTTAGTGTCCACACTCTTGTCACACTCATGTTTATACCACACTCATGTTAGTTCCACACTCTTGTCACCTCATGTACCTCATGTTAGTGCCCACCTCTTGTCACACTCATGTTAGTGTCACACTCTTGTCACACTCATGTTAGTGTCCACACTCTTGTCACACTCATGTTTATACCCACACTCATGTTAGTGTCCACACTCTTACCTCATGTTAGTGTCCACACTCTTGTCACACTCATGTTAGTGTCACACTCTTGTCACACTCATGTTAGTGTCACCTCTTGTCACACTCATGTTAGTACCCACACTCATGTTAGTGCCACACTCTTGTCACACTCATGTTGAGTGTCCACACTCTTGTCACACTCATGTTAGTGTCCACACTCTTGTCACACTCATGTTAGGCCCACACTCATGTTAGTGCCCACACTCTTTTCCCACACTCATGTTAGTGTCCACTCTTGTCACTCATGTTTAACCCACTCATGTTTATACACTCTTGTCACCTCATGTTAGTGTCACACTCTTGTCACACTCATGTTAGTGTCCACTCTTGTCACACTCATGTTAGTGTCCACACTCTTGTCACACTCATGTTAGTGACACACTCTTGTCACACTATGTTTATACCCACACTCATGTTAGTGTCCACACTCTTGTCACACTCATGTTAGTGTCACACTCTTGTCACACTCATGTTTATACCCCACCTCATGTTAGTGTCCACACTCTTGTCACACTCAGTTAGTGTCACACTCTTGTCACACTCATGTTAGTTGCCCACACTCTTGTCACACTCTTTGCACTCATGTTAGTGTCACACTCTTGTCACACTCATGTTAGTACCCTCATGTTAGTGCCCACTCTTGTCACACTCATGTTAGTAGACACACTCATGTTAGTGTCCACCTCTTGTCACACTCATGTTAGTGTCACACTCTTGTCACACTCATGTTAGTGCCACACTCATGTTAGTGTCACACTCTTGTCACACTCATGTTAGTGTCCACTCTTGTCACACTCATGTTAGTGCCACACTCATGTTAGTGTCCACACTCTTGTCACCTCATGTTGTGAACACTCAATGTTAGTGTCACACTCTTGTCACCATGTTTATACCCCACACTCATGTTAGGTATCACACTCTTGTCACCTCATGTTAGTGTCACACTCATGTTAGTGTTCACCTCTTGTCACACTCATGTTAGTGTCCACACTCTTGTCACACTCATGTTAGTGCCCACACTTTGTCACACTCATGTTTATACCACATCATGTTAGTACCCACCTCGTAGTGTCCACACTCTTGTCACACTCATGTTAGTGAACACACTCATGTTAGTGTCCTCCTCATGTAGTCACCTTGTCACACTCATGTTAGTGCCCACACTCATGTCAGTGACCACACTCTTATCACCTCATGTTAGTGCCCACCTCATGTTATGTCCACACTCTTGTCACACTCATGTTATCCCTCGTCACACTCATGTTAGTACCCACACTCTTGTCACACTCATGTTAGTGCCCACACTCTTGCCACATTCATGTTAGTGTCCACACTCTTGTCACGCTCATGTTAGTGTCACCTCATGTTAGTGTTCACATTCGTCACACTCATGTTAGTGTCCACACTCTTGTCATACTCATGTTAGTGCCCACACTTTTGTCACTCATGTTTATATCACACTCATGTTAGTGAACACACTCATGTTAGTGCCACACTCTTGTCACCTCATGTTAGTGCCCACACTCATGTTAGTGACACACGTCACACTCATGTTAGTGCCCACACTCATGGTCGTGCCCACACTCTTGTCACACTCATGTTATGCACCCACACTCTCGTCACACTCATGTTAGTACCCACACTCTTGCCACACTCATGTTAGTGCCCTTATTTGCCACACTCATGTTCATACTCACATTCATGTTAGTGCCCAAACTCTTGTCACACTCATGTTAGTGCCCACACTCTTGTCACACTCATGTTAGTGTCCCCCTTACACACTCATTGTTAGTGCCCACACTCTCGTCACACTCATGTTAGTACCCACACTCCTTGCCACACTCATGTTAGTGCCCACACTCTTGCCACACTCATGTTAGTACCCACACTGTTGCCACACATATGTTCATGCTCACACTCATGTTAGTGCCCACACTCTTGCCACACTCATGTTAGTGCCCACACTCTTGCCACACTCATGTTAGTGCCCACCTCTTGCCACACTTTATGTTAGTGCCCTCTTGCCACACTCATGGTGAATTGCCCTCACTCTTGCCACACTCATGTTAGTGCCCACACTCTTGCCACACTCATGTTAGTGCCCACTGTTGCCACACACATGTTCATGCTCACCACTCATGTTAGTGCCACACTCTTGCCACACTCATGTTAGTGCCCACACTCTTGCCACATTCATGTTAGTGCCCACACTCTTGCCACCTCATGTTAGTGCCCACACTCTTGCCCACACTCATGTTAGTGCCCACCTCTTGCCACACTCATGTTAGTGCCCACACTCTTGTCATACTCATGTTAGTGCCCACATTTTTGTCACACTCATGTTAGTGCCCACACTCTTGTCACACTCATGTTAGTACCCACACTCTTGTCACACATACCCCACACTCATATTCGTTCCCACAGTCATATTCGTGCCTACATTCATATTCATGCCCACACTGATATTCGTGCCCACACTCGTGCCCACACTACTACAGTCATGGTCACGTACAGTACATGTTCACAGATTCATAATACATTTAGTGTTCATCTTCTTGTCATTCGTATGATGTACGGTAATTATTTAGCCAATATACCAACTAATTAAACACCACTTGTGCTAATAATTTGAGTTCATATTTGTTTACTGTCAACTGTAGTAGGTAAAGGAACAACTCATATGCTCTGTGATATGTCAGAGGACGTGACGTACTCGTGACGTCTTGAAATTATGATTGGTCAAAGGATGTGACGTTTTCTTGTCGTCATGAACTGTGTTATTGTGTGTTGAGAAAAGGTTGTTTGTCATTGACTCTCTCTCTCTCTCTCTCTCTCTCTCTCACACACACAGTTAACAAACATTGAATTACTGTACAGTGTGTGTGGGTATTTCAGTGGGTTGCTGACACCTTTGTGTGTTTCAGCTGTTCCATATCCTCTGTTTTATTGTGTTTTATTTGAAAATATTTTGTTTTATGTATTACACGATGTTTTTTTATCTAAATGGTGAATTAAAGCAGGCACTGAGGCCACGATATACGAGTTTTTTTTTTCCTGACGTTATACAAAAACGAATTAAAATTTACAGAAAAACTTTGGGTATTAGACAGATTATTCGTATTTATTTAGTTTTTTTTTTAGATGTAGTTGAATTTAAAGTGGTGAGTTATTGCACCGTCCACCTGGCCAGTACGTGGAGGTAACAGATGGACGCTCGCTCAAATGGTTAAGCCTGCCTGGTGGTGTTGTGGGTGGGATATTCTCTGGCCAGGTGTGGTGGGAGGCAGTATTTATCTAACCTGCAACCACCATACTCACCTACAACCACAGTTTACTTACGACCACAATGCCCATCTACGACCACAATACTCAACCTATAACAAGCAACACTCACCTACAACCACACACTCACCTACAACCATTAATACTTTACCTACAACCACAATACTCACCCATAACCACACATTTCACTTACAACCAGCACGCACACATTGTAATTACAACCACACACTTCACCTACAACCACAATACTCACCTACAACCAACATTACTGTAACTACAACCACAATACTCACCTACAACCACATACTCACCTACAACCACAATACTCACCTACAACCACACATTTCACAAACAGCCCATACCTCTAACCACACACTCACCTACAACCACACATTTCCACTCACAACCACACATTTCACCTACAACCACACATTTCACCTACAACCACAATACTCACACCTACAACCACAAATTCCACCTACAACCACACAATACTTACTCTACAACCAATATCACCTACAACCAATACTCACCTACAACCACAATACTGTAACTACAACCACAATACTCACCTACAACCACACAATATCTACCTACAACCACAAATATCACTCACAACCACACATTTACCTACAACCACATTTCTACTCTACAACCACAAATACCACTACAACCACAATACTCACCTACAAACCATACATTGTAACCATAACCACACATTTCACCTACAACCACAATACTCACCACAACCACACACTACCTACAACCACACACATCACCTATAAACCACAATACTCACCTACAACCACAATACTTACTCTACAACCACAATACTCACCTACAACCACACATCACCTACAACCAAATATCAATTAAATCAAACACTTTACCTACAACCACAATACTCTCACCTACAACCACACACTCACCTACAAACTACACACTCACCTACAACCACAATACTTACCTACAACCACACACTAACTCTACAACCACAATACTCACCTACAACCTATTCTAAAACCACAATATTTCATACAACCACAATACTCACCACCAACACACACTCAACTTACAACCATACACATCTCCAACCACAAATATTTACCTACAACTCACACATCACCTAAACCACACATTTCAATTTCCACAACCACAATACTCACCTACAACCACAATATTTTACCTACAACCACAATACTTCCTACAACCACAATACTCACTCACAACCACAATACTCAACCTAAAACCACACACATGTACCACAACCACAATACTCAACCTACAACCACAATTCACCTACAACCACATCACCTTCAACCACAATACTTACCACAACCGCAATCTACCTAAAACACACATTTCACTACAACCACAAATACTTACCAACAACCCACAACATTTCACCTACAACCACAATACTTACCTACAACCCACAATACTTCACAACCCACAATACTCACCTACAACCACAATACTTACCAACAACCCACAATATTCACTTCAAACCCATAACACTCAACCTACAACCCACGACACTCACCCACAACCCACGACACTCACCCACAACCCACGACACTCACCAACGACACTCACCCACGACACTCACCCACAACCCACAACCCACAACACTCACCTGCAAGAACAATACTCACCTACAGCCCACAATATTGAACCTACACCCTACAACCCACAATACACCCAGGCTTCTGGACCCCGGACATACTGACTGTTCTTCAAGCATAGTAGAATACACCTTCCCCAGCACCCCTTAGACCATCTCAGAATAGGGACGTTTTGTTTAAGGGAGCTATGTATGGTCTTAGGGGAAAGTCAGGGACATATTTAGTATTTAGTGACTTTTAGGGGAAAATATAGTTTTTTTTTCTTGTGTATTTTTTTTAGGGATAATTTCATTATTATTGGCGATATATATAAGGAAGAATTTCAAAGTTTTTTTTATTGATATTTAAGGGAAAATCAGAATATTTTTATGTCAATTTTAATTCTTTTACACAGAATCACCAATCTCTCTCTCTCTCCAATCTAGCCCAAAATACCAACACCACAACCCCATTTTTATGCAGATTTTATGAACCAGATGTATGAAAGTGGGTCCTATTTGACGGGGTAGTGCCACAAAAACATGTATACGGAATTATCGGTTCTGGCCGGCACTGCACTCAAACGCTTTTACATCCTTATGAAAAGAAACCTTTTCACAGCTGAATGAACTGGAGGTGCTCTGGGCGCGAACCAGCTACTCTTAGGACGAGAGGCGAGAGCTGTTTCCACTCGGCCACTGTACTCCTTGGACTGAAGTGATTTCAGCCAAATACCAAAATTTAACTCTTTTGTGTAAGTTTTTATATTGCGTGTGAGTGAGTGAATGAGGAGGGAATGCTGAGATTTGAGGAGGCACTTAGGAACTAAGTATGAATGAGTGAGTGGAGTGACTGAAGTGAGTGAGTGGGTGAGTGAGTGAGACGCATCCAAGTTGATAAAAAGAAAAGGAAAAAAAATCGATTTTCATTTTTTGGGGGGCTGGTGTTCTGGCTTCACGGTCCCAGAGACTCACAAGCCAAAGAAGGAGGTAATCTCATCATCCTTGGACATTCATTATCTCTCTTCCTTCATTCTTCATTCATTATTTTATCATTCTTATCCCCCCTCCACCCACCCCTCCTTCCTCCCTAGTTCCTTCATCATTGACGTCAGCTCTCATCATTTCCCTCTCATTCTCATTATGCTGTCACTCTCAAACCGTCATCATCGTCGTCGTCATTATGCCCATATTTGTCGTCGTCATCATAATCGTCATCATCTTCGTCCTCATCATTATCATCATTGTATTCGTCATCATCATCATCGTCACTTGTCAGTCAGTCGTCATTATCATCGTCGTCATCATCATCATTACTATCATCATCCCATCATCCTTGCTCATTGTTTATCCTTCTTTCATACGTCATTCATCACCTGTCATCCCTCTCACAAATCTCCCTTCAACCCTTTCAGTCGCCACTCACTTCACTCTCATCTCTCTTCCCTCGCACTTATCCATCTCCCCATTCCCCACTCCACTCGCCCCTCTCACCCCACTCGCCCCTCTCTCACCCACCTCGCCCTCTCACTCCACTCGCCCCTCTCACCCCACTCGCCCCTCTCACCCATCATCACCCCTGGCCACACCATTTACCTAGTGTCTGGGAATGGTCGTGGTGGACTTATAAGAATATCACCCCATGATTAATGAGGTGTTGTGACGTCACCAGCGGGAGGCCTGACACCTGCCTCCCACCTCCACCTGTTTACGGTAATTACTTTAAATTGGGTTTAATTGGGAATATAATGGTAGTTTAATTATTGTAGAAGGTGGGGATGGATAGCAGTGTGGATGTGTTAATGGTGATGGTAATTAATGGTGGTGATGATGATGATGGTGATGGTGAGGTGATGGTGATGGTTGTTCTGCTACTACAACTACTATTTTTTTTTATCAAAATGGCCTCCATCCTCCTCTAATAGCCATGTTGCCACCATTTTATTACCTTAAGATTAAATATCCTAATACAAAAATAGCTATCCTAGCTGTGTTGAGTTAGTTGAGCTGCAGATCTATGAGGCATTCGGTGACTGTTGCCTCATCGTCAATATCTGCAACTGTTGTAGGCTTTGGGGCCGATGCCTCGTTCCCTGAGGCAGAGCAAGCAGACCAGAGAGAGAAGGACAGTCGACATCTCATCTGTGTAACATAACTGGCTGCTGTTTTGTTCGGATAGCACCTGCTGAGTCTGGCGTAGAAGCATCTTGCACTTGGTCCCATCTCACCAGAGGTTGTGAACACCAGAGGTGTGAAGCTGCCTTGAATTCTGAATTCTCTCCCCGTATCCCCTTATCTTGTCGTTCTCGTTCCTCCTGTGTGCAGCATAGAGAGCTAAGTTTCGGTGACATGCGGCCATGGGAAAAAAAATCTTGATGTCAAAGAAGGCTCGCTGTCCCCGCGTCCAGAATCCTCGAGCAATGAGGTCAACACGGCTTGTTGGATGTGTTTGAAGTCCATCCAATGGAAGGAGGGTCGGTTGTACCCTGACATCACGACAGATTTCCTTCAATATATTTGCTGTGAGATCCCTTACTTCGTCGTGCCTCATGCATATGAAGCCCACTTTCTTGCACACCATGGCGTGATCGACGTCATAGGAAGAGCCACACACGCATTGGGA